CACCAACCCCACCTCCATAGGTAGCTCTCAGAGGACCCTTGGTCTGCTGCCTAGCCCTTATCCAGGGCTTTTCTCTGCTGAAAATCCTCCGTGTTTCTTCTGGCTGCAGACTGAACACCCTGGTATTTCCTCTGCAAGGGACTCATGCTTACCTTTCTCAGGTTTGCAGAGAGTGTGGCTTTCCCCTTTCCTGAGTTTTGTTATCTAAAGGGGCCACTCAGCAGATTTGCTAGGGACTTTAAGGGTTATACTCCTCTCATTCTTCTATACCTTTGACTTTTCTGCCTAAGATGTAGACACACCATCAGGGGGCTAGGCCATGGGGGTTCACTTGCTGTCAGCACCCTGTCCCTGAAAGAGGGACCCCCTTCTGACCTCTGTGCCTGTGACTCACTCAGCAAGAGTCTCTGACTCCTCAAGGGAGTCTCATCAGTCTCCGCTGAGGTCCTTGCTTCTTTGCTCCTCTAGTCCTTCCAAAGCTTGCCAGACACGGCTCTGTGTTCGCACCCGATGGTGAGTGTGCTTGCCTGTCAGTCACTATGACTTTATACTGGTGGCCAGATACAGGTCAGATGTGTCTGAGTCTCAGGGTCTGCCCAACCCTAACAAAACACATGCCCTGGGAAATTGGATTGAGATCTGTATCCTGGTAACTGTTTCCTGTTGTCCCAGTTTTGTTCTTTGTTTCTATATAGATTGGGGCTAATCTGCTTACGGGAAAAGTCTTCATGTTTTTGAAGGCAATGAACGTATCTCTCGGAGTCTTTATCTTTCCCAGACTAAACATCTTCAGTTTCTTCAGTGACCAGCAGTGTCTCCATGTTGAAGCTTCTAGATCAGTCACATTCTGTTTTGTACTTTGTGGGCAGGCTGCAGTTGACCGTGCTTGACACATTTGGGCCATGACGGAATGGTAAGGAAGCTGTCTTGTCCTGTGTGTGCGTGTACACATGCCTCCTAAATCACACAAAGTCAGTTCCTGACAAACTCAGACAGATAATCAGCTTAAAGACTAGGGTTTCTGATTTTTCAGATCACTAATCTCCCCAGTTACATCTTTGTTAAGTGTTTGATAGATCAACCCGTCTCAGGTGTTTTGGGATCACCCACCGTATTATTTAACAACGTGTTAACCCGCTTATACCATACCTGGAATCTCAGATACAGCTGGCTTTGACTTGCTTGGAATGCCTGTAAAGGGGGGTTTGAATTTAGGACGACTGAGCAGTTATGCAAAGGAGGCCGTACCAATTCAGCTTCCTTTTCAAAGCTTGCTGTTTCTCTTTCTGTTTCTAATAAGATATCGAGTGCATTGGTCAGCTTTTGGTACAGTAACAATCTCGAGATTCAGTATGTCACAACAATGACATTTATCTTGTGCTGTGGTCCTGCTCCCAGCTGTGGACTGGCTTTGGGTCTTTTGGTCATTCCAGACTGAGTCTCCACATCTGCTCATCCTGGGATTCGAGTGGGAGGAGCGGCCCCTACCTGACACATGGCACCCTCTCCTGCACAGGCCAGGAACAAGGGCTAGTAGAAATGTGCACTGTGCCTCTTCTGCTTCTGGCTTGGGAGTGGCATTTCCCCTGACTTTCCCATGGCTAAAGTAAGTCAGATGACTAAGCCCTTGGTTAACGGGTAGGTCACGTACCCTTCCCATAAAAGGCATTTTGGTCACATGGCAAAAGGTAAGGTTGTACACTTTTCTTAAACGGAGGATATGAATAGCTGTGATGATTATGTAACTTATCTCGTTAAGCCTCTACTACGCACTAGGCAAGACAATTGTATTTTGTTTTGAGGCTTTTTTCTTTTGTTCTGGAATGGGCAGAAGTCTGTGCATCTGGGGTGTAAACTTAAAGAGACCCTGTTGTGTCTGTTCCTGCACTTCCACAATTCATTCTGCAAAGATATAAACATTGGTTTCCTTTAAAAACCAGTGTAAATCCAAAATTAATCTGCCCCTGACACCAAGCAGTACCAAACAGTAAATAGTCAATTTAAATTTGTTTGCTTGAAATAAATAATTAAGAAGAAAACCCTTGTGAGGATTGACTATTACCTTGTCTGGGACAGTATTTCTGTGTACAGAAGTTTCCCATTCTGCTTCTTTGTTTGTCAACACTCCAGGGGGTGAGAATATCATCTGTGTGTTTATTTGGCAGAAACTGTTGTGAAAATACTTTCAAGAGAATGCCTGGCATCTACTTAGTGGGAGGAGTGAGGGAAGCTTGTTCATACATCTGGTTATTTAGCACGGAGACACTACCTTTGTCTTCCAACCCCCAAGCCAGGGAGGAAATCACAGCCTGCCACTTCCTTTCTCCCACTCATCGCAGGTCCAGGATCTCAGGCCCCTGCATGGCATCATGTGTCACTCATTGTGCATTTAGTAATATTGACAACGACAACAAAAAACTCCAGAGCCCAGTGGAAGGAAAACTGCCCCAATAATCAGATTTCAATGGGAAAGTCCTCTATTAGAAGAGGCAAGTCGCACAAGAAAATAATTTAACCTTGCCACTATAAAAGATCTAAGAAATTCTATGAAATAAATCATTGCATGAAAGTATTTAGCAAGTCCCTACTATGTGTTTAGCTCAATCGTGGCTTTGTGGCCATACCAGAAATACTGTTACATAGAGAATGTCAGGAATTTGGACACAAGGGAGCTTCAGGAGGTGTAAATGGCCTCTGTCCCTCTGGGTTCTCTCTCACTCACCTGCTAGCTGTGTTGTGGGATGCTGCCCGGCATGGCCCACATCCAAGGCTCCCTGGCATTCTGGTTGGATTGGTCAGTGGGAGGCACCAGCAGGCAATCGTGAGGAAGGTTCAGTGTTTACCTTCAGCTCCTCTCTGCTGGGTCGCTGTGTCCATCCACTAAAGACCATGGCTCCTGCCAGGTGGTCCTCTCCACACAGCCATCTCTCTCTGAGTCCTGATTATGCTTCTCTCCTTTTGCCCTTTCAAGCAGACTGTGGTGCCTCCAGAAATACACTTTGCCTCATAATTGCTCTACCTGCTCCTTTGTATAGTATAGTTATTTTTATCACACTTTCTTCAGAACACAAGATTTGCATGGGCCATCTGCCTCCTGCTGGAATGCTGGTTGATCCATGGGAAATCCTGGGGCTGGGAGGGATCCAGGGCAACCGACCACACTGCCTGTGTCTACGGAGACACTGGGGTAGAGGCAGAACACTGAAGCTTAGACTCTGACTCTGCCATGTGAACTTAGGCAAGCCTCAGAATCTCTGAGCTACAGTTTTCTCATCTGAAAAATGGGGGTAATAATAGTCGCCTTGTAGAGTTGTCATGATTTAACAAGATGATGCTTGTGGATATGGTTCAGAAACTACGAAGCAGCCTATCAGTGTAGGCCGAAACAATGACCAATGCCCCGAATGATGTCTGAGACACAGGGAGAACCTTGACGATGAACAAAAATGGACCAAAAGGTGTTTGCCCTGCTGATCGTACCAAGGTAGGACAGCGAGCCATTCCTGTTTGGAAAACCTCTGGATAGGAAGAATACTACAGCAAGACTTTTTCTGGTTCACACTTGGTTAGCCAGAAAAGTTAGCTAGAACATATTTCCTACGCATTCCAGTTATTAGGAATCCAACTGCAGGCAACAGTTATTGGGAAACACAGTGCGCCCATAGGCTACTTCTAAAAACATGCAGATTTCTAAAGTTAACACTGTAAAAGGTGAGAGTGCCCGTCATACAGTGAGCATATGACAGTGCATCCGGGAACCTCAGGTATTGTCCTCCACTTTGTGACAAGCTCTGGGTGAGATCTTGAGTAGGCCACAGCTCACTGAGGATTCTGTTTTCTCTTTAAAAATATGATACCAAGTTACGTTTTTAATGCAACACTACAGGTTACAAAGGGTATTCACATGTGATGCCTGACATTTCACACAAAAATTCTTATCTCCCCACCTTAGATGAGACCTGAGAGGCCATTCTGAAATAATGAAATTGTGGGACGTTTGAGGTCACCCAGCACGACACCTTCATGGCATATGTAATTAATTTCAATGTCGCTCAGCCTCCAGGAGCCAAGCTGCACCCACTCGTGCATGATGCCGATCTCAGCATGTCATTGTGCCCTGGAGAGAAACTCTAACTGCACTCCTCACGCACTGAGGGGGGAGCACACTTTACTGAAGTCTTCCTGGTAAAAATGGAGAAATGCTATCCTACACCACACAGAAGTCTCTACTACAACAGTCCCCTGTGGCTGCTGTAGCAAATGATCACAAACTTAGTAGCATGATATAACACAAAATTATTATTGTACAGTCCTGAGTCTGCAGGGGTACGAGCCTTCTAGAGGCTCTAACAGTCTGTTCCCTTGCCTTTTCCAGCTTTTGGAGATTAGAGGCGGCCTGCATTCCTTGGCTTGAGGTCCCTTCTTTGACTTCAAAGCCCACAGCATAACATCTTCTCTCTTCTCTGACCTCCTGGCAATGAACCTTGCAACTATCTCAGGCCCAGCTATTTAATCCAGGAAAATCTCAAGATTTTTATCTTAATCACCTCTGCACAGTCCTCTTTATCTTGTAAGGTAACATACTCACATGTTCTGGAGATTAAGACAAGGACATCTTTGGGCATCACTATTCAGCCTGCATACCTATTAAGAACCACTCTTTAGACATATCTCCCTTTGGATTTACACACTCTCTGGAAAGTTTGCCTTTCTCTTTTCTTGAAAAAACTTGGCTCAATTTTTCTCCATACCTTCTTTCCAAAATTCTGTCCCTAATTAAAAACAAACCAATAAACAACCCCACGCCACCCCACCGCTGATCTACCTACTGTTCCTCAGGAATACACTCTGTTGGGTAACCCAGTCAGCTGCCTTCACATGAGCAGCTCTGGAGCCCAAGCACTGAGGTGACCTATCCAAGGTCACACACCAGGTAAAGGCAGGTCTGCCGACCTCCATGCTTTACTGCTCCATTTTATTTCTTCTTCTTTTCTTCTCCATAATGTCTCACAAAACACCTAAATACACCTCTGAAGACAGGAGGGAAAATAATGCTAGCTCTGTGAATTGTCTCTCCTCGTGTGAATCCATAAACTGCCGCAGACTGACAGAGAAGAGCTCAATGAGGAGGCCTCACTGCTTCCCTTCAAACAAGGTGAACAAAGCTGCCTATGTTTTCTATATATAGTATCACTCTTGTGTCAGGTTTGGGGTAATCCCCAGAAGAAAATTAGGTATTTGCCTGGTCGTTTATGTGGTAACGTTCCTTTAAAATATATTTTCCTCTTAGGAGTGGAGGGAAGGCCCAAGGGTGTTTAAATGTTCCTCAAAGCTCTTTCTAGTGACTTGGCCTCAAAGGGAATTTCTTCATCCCAGAAGTGTTCTGAATGCTTTTATTCCCATAGTTAACTAGCTGGCTTCCCCAGCATTGTTCAGGAAAATCCTTAAGTAGGTTCATCCCTGAAGCTACTCTCCCTGCATTGCTAAATAGAGTTGCCCGTGAGAGAGGCTCCCTCACAGACCAATAACTGCAGTTTGAACACCTGACTTTTTGCCTTTGGGTTTGAGCTCATATTTGAAATTACTTTTATTTTCTCTGCTCACTCTGTCTTATCCCATATTCAAGGCCTCTTTTGAACTTTGGATTTAGTTTTTCTGGTGATTGGCCACCTGCTTTTTTGAGATTCCTTCCACTGCCCCCCAGCCAAGACATTTCTACTATTTGTAAAGGGTCTGCATTTTAAGTCAGGTAATTTAAGTAGACCAAGTTTTGATAATGGCCATTTTCTTAATGTGATACAGCAATAAACACAAGTGGGCAGAATCTTAACTTTATTGATGTAGGTTATTATAGATGATGCATGAACTTTTGGTTCTCAACAAAGCTCGACTCCACATAAGCAGACCCACTCTACTCTTGGTTAGTACTCTGTCTTCTCAACACACACCATCGGCTTGAATGAGTTCAGAGCATCCAGTAAATGTCTGGCACCATGTGTGTAAGATTCAGAGACAAGAAAGAGGAGAAGAGGGCCTGTGCCCACTGGGAGCTCCTGGACTGACCAGGAAGACAGGCATGGCGATGAAGTGGCCACCCAGGGGGATTCAGCAGGTCTCTCTACTCACCACAGTGATTTTACTTTTTAGCCTTTCTTTTTTTGTTTTTCTCACCTTTTCCACCTCCCTATCATGAAGCTATTAACATTTTCATGTTCTTTGGGGACTCAGTTCTGTCCCATCTGTCATTAAGTGTGTGTTAACCACAGGGGCCTCCCTTCCTGTGATTTCCTAAGGGGCCCCCAACTCAGCATCAATTAAATTGCTTTGCCCAGGCTGTTTCGGGCACACAGACTGGGATCTCCTCAAAACCCTCCAAATGGTTTTGTACCACAAAGAAGATGAAATCCAGTTTCCTTGTCCTAGCCTAGAGGGCCCGACACATTCTGGTGTCTGCTTCATCTCTGAGTCCATCTCCTGCCATCGTCCCTCTTAGTTCAGCCACGTTGACCCCCTTTCCATTCTTGAAACACACTGAACTCTTAGTTATTGCAGGGACTCGGCATCTGTTTCCTCTGCCTGGAATCTCCTGCATGTCTCCTCGTGATTCTGGTCTCAGCAGACATGTCACCCATGTGGAGACCTTCTCTACCACCTGAGCTAAAAGTAACCCTGTCTTTCATCCTCTTCCCCTCATGTCCTATCATCTATCTAATCTATCTATCTATCTATCTATCTATCTATCTATCTATCTATCATCTATCTCCTATATTTTTGAGTAATTTATCTCCATGTGACCCTCATTTATATTTTTATTTTCTGTATCTTCCCTCCATAAATTCCTTGAAGGTAGGGATTTTGTCTAACTCATTTTCAACTGAATTCCCATGATTACAGCAGGGACAGGCACACTGTAGGTAATCAACAAATATTTGTAGGAAAAAAAGGTTCCTCCATAGAGCTAAAAAGAGTACTAGGTGTAAAATATTTCTTTTTGTAAATTTTACTTATTGATTTTAGAGAGAAAGGGAGAGAGACAGACAGATAGACATTGCTTTGTTGTTCCACTTATTTATGCATTCATAGATTGTTTCTTGTATGTGCCCTGACCAAGGATTGAACCTGCAACCTTGGCATATCAAGTTAATCTTCTAACCAACTGAGCTAGCTGGCCAGGGCAAATATTTCTTTTTAAAAGACATCACTTACAATAGCAGTTTGTAATAATCCCTGCTATCTTGAGACATCTATTACAATGTAATTTCTTTGTTAATTACTCTGCGCATAGAATCAAAAAACACAAAACCTTAGAAATCATTTGACCCACGTCTCAGAGTTTTATAAATGAGAAAATTCTTTCTTTTTATTGAATGCCTTTACAGATCCCTTTGGGAAACTAGGTGATCTGTATATGTTTAATTGTAAATAATTTATCTCCCTATATTTTTTACCCTTTTACATTCATGAAGTCCAGGGAAGACAATTAAAATCCACAATATTATATTAAAATTTCAACATGAATTTATTAAAATTTAGTTAAGGTTAGAGTGGTACTTTTTGATATAGACATACCATGTAGCTCCTTGGAGACCTTACACAGTCTTTTACCAAAGCTGAGTAGTCAAACCCTCCTAAACCACAGACTTTTGACAGCCTGGGGATGTGACACATTTTTGAAAAGTGGAGATCTGCATGCTGTCGTCCTTTCTGGCTCCCGAGTCTACTTTGAGGGTGACACCCACACAGTCTGTGAGCTGCAGGCCCTCGGGCGCAGTCTAGACCACAGCCCAGGGAACTTCTCTCAGGGGGCCGGTTTCTCCCTCAACCGTCACTGTGTCTTTCCATGAGGAAATCCGAAAGCTAGGAGAACGTATTCCAATGCCAGCAGCCCTAAGTCACAAAGGAAAGCCAGACGTCATTTGGGGACTTGTAAATAAATTTCTAACCTATGAGCTATTTGATGAAGTGCTTGTGTCCAAATTGTCAAGTTGAAATTTTCCCAGATTGCAAGATTTTAAGTTCAAATGTATTACTCACAGAGCACCATACCATACAATTGTCAGTGCAAATATAAACATTTGATAAAATAGAACAATATGCCCATTATCACAAATATTCAAAGAGATGCCAAACAAAAGGAGACATTTTCTCTTACTAACATGACAAAGGTTAAAAAAATAGAAATACTCACTGCTGACGAGGGGGTCAAAGAAGTGATACTTTCATGCCCGGAGGGTGGGATGTGAACGAACACACATGTTTTGGGGAAGTAAGTATATCATGTGGAAATAATCATGTGCAAAAAATTTTTTCAGGGGCATCCACTGAAGTTTTATTTGTAGTGGTAAAAATTGGAGACGATGTAAATATTCAAAAATAGGAACAAAGTTAAATAAATTTTATGGCATTCAAAGAATAAATAGTGAGCAAACATTAAAATATTATTGTAAAATAATATTTAAAAACAAAACCACTCAGAATATGATAAATTAGGGCTAACATAACTGCATGAAGTATGATAGGGTTTCACTTACGTGCTAACATTTTAAAGTGTGGATTGATGTGTGGTGGGTTCTGGAATGATTTCTATTTTCATCTTTTCTGTGGCCAGCATGTATCCCTTAACAATCAGAAGAAAAAAAATTTCAAAATAAAACGTGCCACTTGGTGGCCAGGAAGAGCTATCCTTGGTTTTGTGTTTATGCTTCTATGCATTCTTGCTATGCAACTGTTTTAGGATATGTTCCCCATGAAGAATTAGATTAACCAACATCATCTTTATCATTCCATTCACTTTGAGGATTGAATTTTCAGGCCCAGAGAAAGCTCTGACTTGATTATGAAATCAACCTCAGACAGAAGGTATGAATGACCAGGAGCCTGGAGGTGGGTGGGATTCTCCCAGTTGCCAAAGAAGTTCAGGCCAACACCCCTGCTGGGAAGATAAAATCTGTCCCTAAAGCAAAGACCTCTGTCCTATGACCCTGGCTTCTCTTAGCTTAGTTTTCTTTCTTTCCAGGTTGACCATCCACCAAAAGCAACTAATTCTGGTAATTCCATGGACAGTTCTAGGGATTCTAATTACTTTCAACAGGGTTTATCATACAAAGCAAGCAAAAACAGCCTTCCTCCCACAAACCCCATGCCCTCTTCAGCTGTTGCCACGCTGTGGCTGGCTCTACTTCTTCATAACTTGCCAGTAATCAGCCATCTCCATTAGGCCTTCCACGTCTTCCTTGCCACCACCAAAATTTCTTTTGCTGAGGTCATCCATGGTTTCCAAGTTGCTAAATCCAGTGAGTGCCCTTTAGCCCTCATCTCCCTCACTTGACCTGTCAGAGGCATTCAACACAGTTGTTCAAGTCCTCCTGCCGGCACACTCTCATTCCCTCTTTCAGGAGTGAGAGCCGTGGGCTGTGTATGTTTGCCATGTGCAAGCTATGTTGTACTCGCCCGTCACTCTTTTAGGAATGACCTGTTGTGATTTTTCTCAGTATAATGGAATTTTAAGAGGAAGAACACAGCCTCCAGAAGATCCTTACTGCTGGTACATTTGTAGTTCTTAATATGATGTCTACTATTAAGTGGGATCACAATGGTGTTTAGATATGGCCATGTGTTAGTGTGAGTCAGCATCAAGAAACCATTATGCTGGGACGCCAGGATGTCTTTTCTGAAAGAGTGGTCTAAAAGGGGAAAAGAGACTATCTAAATGCTCTTTCATTCAATGTAAAAAGGGAGAATTTGGTTGACAAATATGAACAAGAATATCCCTTCCTTAAGTTAGACAGTCAGTTGCCTTATGAACTTTTGCATCCATCTGGGTTGTTTGGTCATCTCTGTACTTTGGCACACGCTTGGAGCTGACCTGAGGCTGCTACCCTCCCTGCACTCTGAAGCTCAGGTCAAAGGTGTAAACTCCCCTTGTGGAGTGAGGCTAGGAGACCTGCTGCCCTGGTGCCTCTCACCTCCGCCTTTTCACCAGAAGACGCCAGCCCAGATCTGACTTATTTTCTTATGCCTTATCCAGAAGAAATTGTCATGATGTCTGATGTTTAGAATTGGCACAAGAAGAGCCTACTTCACTATGTTCTGCATCAATGAGGTCCATGAGCTAATGGACCTCTGCCCGTAA